AATGCTTCTTATCAGCTCCTAACAGCTGTTATCCTTTTCTGGTCCCCCTCGAATATGATCACGTCCCACCCCCTATATCATATCCTGAAATAATTTTTGGCGACAGCTGTAATCACCATTCGAGATAGGGTATAGGGTAGACTGACATTTATTAAGAATTCCAGAAAATTTCCAGAGATTAATCATCACCTCCCAATTCCTCATGAGTCATTATATTAAAGATCGAAGAAACAACACGATGAGTTATGCTTTGTCTTCTCTGCTTCTATATTTTGTTTCAAGCATTTTATGAGCAATTTCCCAACCATATATAAGCCCCTCTAAGATGATAGAAATTGGATTTCAACTCCTCCAGACAATAAAGTTGCCGATCAAACGTCTTCACACACAACATGGCGACCACGGCAACCAGGAACTGCCATCTTCAATAAGCCACCGAGAACTTCAGCGAAGATCGACGAATTCCTCCCCTCACTCCAGTCCCCTTACACCTGCCCTCCCCAACCCTGCAACCAATTGACCATCAACCCTTTCAAGACCTCTCTTCCTGCTCCATCTCCTTCCATCCCAAACCCACCTCCCACCTCCCCGACCTCTACAATTACCATCAACGATATCGTCAACGCACCGATCTCTCGCATCTCTCTCTGCAGTTCAACAAACAACGACGTCTGACATCGACGAAGCGGCCTGCCACAACGACGCCAGCGACGTTCGCCACCATCTCATCACAATAAGCGTCACGTCAAACGACCTTGTAAACTCGCTGGAAACAAATGAGTGCTCAACTACGAAGACAGATTGGAGCAGTACGGAAGCAGCTCACATACGCCGTTGAACTCTGTCAAGCTGATCTCCAAGATGACGCTCACCAATTCATCAGCTCAAGCAACAACGACGCCCTTCTCGACTACATCGAAATCCAGCACAAGCCATCAAGAGTCGATTATCGCGAAGCTCGACAAGCTGCAGAAACTCAACGACGAATGGTCCAATCTTATGGCTGCGGACAACGATGAGGTAGCAGTTTTCAATGAATACATCGCAAAATACGGCGACTACAGATCGGATATTACCAAAGCCATCGAAATTCCTCGAACGAATCGACATGCACGAAATACTCATCGCTGAACATTTGGCACATCAAGGAATTGATTGCGAGCCTAAACAACTCTCTTCGCAGCAACCACAAATCAACAACGTCCAGCAAGGCGACAATTACAACAGCAGGTCATTATACGCTAATCAACTTCATGCCAACTCTCCATATGCCACCTCCCAGCTTGATCGCCACGAGAACAGCCAATTCAACTACTTCGATGCGTCACTACTATCACGACTAGATCTTCCGTCATTTTCTGGAAATCTGATCGAATTCCCAGAATTTTGGTCTCGCTACAACACACTCGTGCACTCGAAGACGTCATTATCTGGCGCAACGAAATTCTCGCTTCTAAAAAGTTGTTTGAAAGGACGAGCACTGCAATGCGTGGAAGGTCTACCAATTACCGATGGAGACTACATCACTGCTGTCGACATTCTCCATATGACATACGACAATCCGTGCGCTATTCGCCATCTCATCTACACGCAACTTTCAAACCTTCCACAGTGCGATGCCGAAGGAAAACAACTCCAAGACATCTACCTCAAGATGTTGCGCCTCGTCCGCCAATACACCTCAATCACACCAGGATCGCCAGAATATGGACTGGGTGCTCTCCTCTACAACAAGCTGCCTAAATTCGTCAAAGCGCGCATCTACGATAAAACCGGAGGTCAGAGGAACCTAACTCCAAACGAATTGATGGAACTCCTATCCGAAATCGTCAAAAAAGAATCGACTCTACGCCAAGTTGAAATCTCAACAAATTCCAGTCACTCTTACTACCACGTCTGGAAGAAACAAGAACAACTCTCTCCACGGAAAAACACGACAACTCTGCCACCAGCGAGCCAACGCAATCCAACACAGTGCCCTTTTTGCAAACGGACCAATCACAATGCCTATCAATGCCGGATTTTCTCGACCGCATGAAGAAAGACGAACTGCCACCCGAAAAAATAAATTATGTTTCAAATGTCTCCGACCGGATCACCGCACAACCTCCTGCACTCGCCCAGCCTGCTACTTATGCAATTACCACCATCACCCAGCACTATGCTTCAAAACGAAGGATCTTCGGAGAACTTCGCAGGCGACAAAGGCAAACGAATCCAACTTCCGTCAGAATGTAGTTTCTTCCAGCAAAACTCAAGACGATCGAAAAAGATACTGGCAATGGGACAACAAAAACGCTCGCCTCTCGAGACAACCACCACAATCTACATCAACAAGCAACACGAGAACGATCAATTTCTCCGTGGACACCGACAAAAACTATCAGAAGGACGACAACGACATCAGTCGCACAATCGCCGATCACACGAATGCCGAACCAAGCTCATCGTACGCAGCGGTGATTCACTCCACATCAACAAAGAGTAACAACCAGGACAGCGATGACGAACAAGGAACTGGAGAACAAATACTCCTGATGTGTGCAAAAGTCACCCTCGCGAATCCCGACGATATGACGAAGCAACTAATCACCACGGCATTCCTTGATAGCGGATCATCACACTCATACATCACTTCAGACGTGGCTGAATATCTTCAACTTCGCAGTGTCGGTAACCAAATAACACTCCACACGTTTGGATCAAGAGAGCCACTGTCCGTCTCATCGAGCCTTCATAAAGTCAACATGCTGCTTCCTGATGCGACTCCTTACTCATTGGACGTTCAATCGCTACCACACCTCACCAAACCATTGATGGCCCCATGCGATCTTCAAACCGCACTACGCGAACTCTCCGACAACATACCACTATCTACGCAACCAGTCCACACAGGTATTCTCATTGGAATGGATCATTTCTGGCAATTAGTTCTTTCACCGCAATTCTACTCTGTGCCCCTCCCGAGTGGATTTCACTTACTCAACACGCGACTGGGACAGATGATCAGTGGCAAGAAAATGTCCACTCGCACAATCAACATAGCAGTTCGCGACGATCCTGATCATCCATTCAACAAAGACGCACTCGACAAAATGGTTGAACGCTTTTGGACTTGTGAGTCTCTCGGAACTCCTAACGAAGCTAGCTCAAAAGATGACATTATCTGCCTCGACTTCTTTAATAACACCACTCGTTATGATGAGGACGAATGCCGTTACTATACACGACTCCCTTTCAAAAGTGAACCACCAGAGGTACCAGAGAATTTCCAATACAGCCTCTCCTGCTTACGATCAAATTGGAAAACACTCTCAAAGGATCCCGAACACTTACGAAAATACCACGCCATAATTCAAGACCAAATTCAACGAAGCATCATCAAAGAAGTTCCTCTCTCGGAAACCGACTCACCAGGTACATTTTTATCACATCATGCAGTTATTCAGCAATCGAAGAAGACGACTAAAATACGACTGGTCTACAATGGTAGCGCAAAAGTCAATGGATGCCCAAGTTTAAACGACTGTTTATTTCGCGGACCCATACTGCTACCGGACTTGAGCGGAATACTGCTGAGGATACGCCTCGCTCCCATTCTTCTCAGCGGAGATATCGAGAAAGCTTACCACATGGTCGGCTTAGAGAATTGTGATCGACCATTTACCAAATTTCTCTGGCTGAAAGACTATCAAAAACCGCCATCACAGGACAACCTAGTCATCTACTACTTCATGCGAATACCATTCGGATTAATCTGCAGTCCATTTCTATTGGCAGCAACCATACACCTTCACCTCACAAGAGCAGCAACTCCACTTGCACACGAGATCCTCACGTCTTGCTACGTTGATAACATCTTCCTGTCCGCCGAAACCGAGGAACAAGCAAACGAAAAGTACTTCCACACCAAGAAACTATTCCAATCGGCAGGAATGAATGTCAGAGAATGGGCAACCTCCAATAAGCACGTGAGTATTACAATCGAACAAAATGAGAGCTGTAACATGGACACGACTGTGAAGCTTCTGGGTATTCCATGGAACACGACAAATGACACATTGACGATCTGCATGCCAACGGTTCTCGACAAACCTTCACAGTGGACAAAAAGGAACGTTTTGAAGACTGTAGCATCAATATTCGATCCGTTAGGACTTATCTCGCCCGTTACAGTGCAGGCAAAAATGTTCCTTCAAAGTTTGTGGAAAGCTGATCTTCAATGGGACGAACTATTGCCTCCTCGCAGTCAGCAGCAGTGGAACAGCATCATAGACTCCTGGACAGTCCAATCCATCGAAATGCCGCGAAAACTCTTCTCAGGGCCACAAAATCAGTCGTCAACGCAACTTCACGTGTTTACTGATGCGTCGCAAAACGCATACTGTGCAGTCGCATATATGAGAACAAAAATGGACGGACACATCGATGTCAAGTTACTGATGGGCCGAACGAGATTAGCTCCACTTCACAACGCAGTCACCATTCCTCGTCTCGAACTAAGTGCCATGACTCTAGGATCCACGCTCATGAAACATATCACGAAAGAAATGGGCATTCATTTCAACGAACGATATCTTTGGTCGGACTCTAAAGCCGCACTCCAGTGGACGAAAGCCACTACGAGACTTCCTGTTTTTATCCAGAATCGAGTAAAAGCCATCAAAGCAAATGCAGCTGATGCTATCCTACGCCATGTGCCCTCAACTTCGAATCCAGCTGACGTTGGAACGCGAGGAACAACCATTGAAGCTCTCCTCCAAGAAGATCAGTGGTGGAACGGTCCTTCTTTTCTCAAGCTAGAGGAAGAACAATGGCCTAAGGACAAGAATGAAGACATCACAGTTTGCGACGATGGTATTGTTTGCCCTGCAATAAGTGCACCACTCCAGAACCCAACGAATCTTCTCATCGAGAACCCTACCAAGTTCAGCAGTTGGAAGAGACTCCTGAGAACGATAGTCACAGTGTTCACCTTCATCTTCAACATCAATAAAAGCATTGCTAAGAAAAAAGGAAGGAATCTCACAATGCCGGACCATGTTAACAAAGCGACGCTAGCTCTATTCCATCAAGCACAGATCCGTCACCCTCTCTCCGACGATCAAAAACGAACTCTTCACGCATTTTTCGATGAAGACACAAGACTATGGAGGTCCAAAGGACGAACAACAAATTCAACTCTGTCGTATGATGCAAACAACCCGATTATTCTTCCACGCAAGGAATGGATTACATGGCTCTACATTCTTCACAGCCACCAAGAGAACCACCACACTGGCGTATCACAAACTCTCACAACGCTTCGACAACATGTGTGGATCCCACAAGGCCGAACAGAGGTTAGAAAAGTCATAAACAGACTTTGTTTATACTGCAAAAGGGAAAAAGCAACACCGTTTCGTCTTCCACCATTCCCCGACTACCCTCTGCAGCGAGTAGTCCAACCGCTTCATCCATTCACCAATTGTGGCGTTGACTATGCAGGACCATTTACGACAAAATTCAACAACGAAGAAATTAAGGTCTGGATAGCCTTGTTCACGTGTTTGAACACACGTGCAGTATACATCGACATAGCCACCAGTCTAAGTGCGTCATGTTTCTTGAATATCCTTCGTCGATTCATTTCCTGTAACGGACGTCCGAAATGGATCCTCTCAGACAACGCCTCCGCCTTCGCATCTGTTGCCAGCGTACTGTCTCCACTTCTGACGGAAGAGGACAAGAATCTGTTTGATTACTGCGCTCACCACAACATTAAATTCAAATTCATACCAGCTCTCGCGCCTTGGCAAGGCGGTGTATACGAGCGCATGATCAAGATCTTCAAGTCTTCATTCAAAGCAGCTATCAGAAACAACAAAGTGGAACTGGATGAATTCACCACCTTAGCAAAGGAATGCGAAGCAGTTGTAAATTGTAGACCAATCACTTACGTTTACAACGATATCGACTCCGGCTATCCACTACGACCAGTAGATTTTCTAAAGCCATTCGCACTATTGGGATCTCCTCGACTTCAGCAAGAATACGACACCGACGACGAATGGACAACAAGAACGACGACAGCAGATGATTTATACCAAAGATGGACGTTCACCTTAGACCTACTCAACAAATTCTGGAAGCGATGGCACGATGAATATCTTACGAGCCTCAGAGAACAGTACCAGCGAGAGCATCATCAAGCTCACCTTCTATCATCAGAGACCCCTCAAAAGGATCATATCGTTCTTATCCACGATGCCAACAAACCAAGAGGTCAGTGGAAGCTAGCTCGTATTATTGATTCATCGGACCACTGTGCAACGCTTAAACTTCCTAGCGGAAACGTTACTACAAGACCATTCAACCTATTGTATCCACTAGAAGTAGCACCATCGACAGCAACACATTCTGAAAAACATGGAGAAAAAACGAAGAACACAGCACCTGCTTCTTCGGAAAGAGTCGGAACTCATCCAAGAAGTCACCCTATGACTACGAGAAGTCTCGCTACCAAAACTTCCTTACCAATAATCACCATTTTTCAAGTACTTCTCACCCTTACTTTCGCCCAGATTAACTCCTACACCCCGCCAAAAACCCGCTGCACGTCACGACCGCAAGACGATCAACCAAATCATCTACGCAGACCAGTGCACACCACGAGGAATAGCCGTTGCAACATCCACACTAACGGAAAACCATCAATCGTTCTGTTGGTTGCAGCTAACATGTCCTGTTGGACACATACGAATCCCTATACCACAACTTCCGAATACAGGATTTTGCGGAAAAGAATGCAGCTGCCCAAGTTGGACGACCTCTTGCAGTGCGTATAATGGACGACTAGCCAAGGACTCTACCCTTGCGAAAACTCCATTCAACATTGCACATTTCATTCCTCCCCACGTCTGCTCATTCACGCCAGCCGCACATTGCTCGAAGCACAGCAAACTCGGAGTTTTCTATCAAATTCAACTCTATGATGACACTCTCATTCTCGTACCCGAGCTACATATCAAATCAGTGGAATTTCAAGACAAAAATGACTACTACTGTTTCGATCATGCAGGAAACGAACTCAACGGCTTTCGCTTTGCCACGAAACGGACTGGAACACCCGCATTTTGCCGAAGACACCCGTGTGTTGATCCAGACGATGCAAGAATGTTCTGCACATATTCGACCCCAACGACATCATACTATTCCAACGACTCTTCCATCCTCATAAAAGCATGGGGAACAACGACGCGGACCTATTACCCGCATAAGGAAACTTCACTGGACACATCAAAACCGCACTTCACTATCCCACAATGCACGTCAGGCGGACTGCTCATCGACACTACGGAGAAATACGACATGATCGAAATTTGCAGCGATTTCATATGCATATACATCTCCAACTACATCAGCAAGTCAAAGATCTTCCTACCCACTTCTATCGTACTATTCGACTATGTTATCACGATACAGTCATGGATCAACGGAACTCGACAACTCCATACAAACCTCGAATGCAAAGGAAAACCCATTTGTGAAGTCTTGGATTGCATCATTTGCTGGGAACACATATACAACCTGCATTGCTGGACAATCACCGAAATCATCACGGTCATCGCGGCTTCTCTACTCACACTCATATTTTGCAGATTGATATCACCATTCTATATTTGCCTTTGGTGGCTCATCAACAGAATCGGTCGTCTTATCAGAAGATCGACGTGCTCAATATGGAGTAGGATTCAGATGCCGCCGCCGCCAATACACGCTTCCACAATTTCCTTCCTACAGAAAGGAATCACGTCAAAGATTCATTCGAACCGCCTCAACAGTCACTCTTTTGGCTACATTCGTCCAAATATCATCATCGTGCTCAGATATCGTCAGCATAACAAGCAAATCCCACAACTGCGAATTCAATGAGACTGCTGAGATATGCACAGTAAACCAAGCAGTCATACTTCATCTCCAACCTATCGGCCAGGAGTCATGCCTCCTCTTACGAGACTCCAAGGATAACCCTGCAGGAACCATCCATCTTCGACTGAACAGCGTTGTTTATACATGTCAGCAGAAAACCCACTTCTTCACCCGCGATCACAGTTTTCACGTGGAGTCAAACCATCAATGCTGGGGAACTTACAGCTGTACCGGTGCAACATGCAAAGGGACGACAATTCGATCGAAAATCCCGGAAATCAGTCGGAATGCGAACAAAAGACCAGGTTTCACATACTGCGCACCGAGTTGTAAATGTCTGTGGTGCGATTGGTGCTTTTGGTGCAAAGAAACTTGCATTTTCTACCGGAATTACGCAGAACCCGAATCCTCAACGATTTACAGAGTGTTCAGCTGTCCGACTTGGCCCATTACAGTTTCGGGAATAATCACAATTACAATGCATCAACAACAACAATCTCATCAGTCCCTCCTACAGCCTGCAACACCGTATCGCTGGAATGATATTCAACTTGCTCTAGTATCAACTACCACTCCAAACTTTCCGATTCTCTCCAATTTCTTTATAACCGATGGCAACAAGACAACGATTATCGACCCCACACCAGCAGGACAACTACTCCC